ACATTACTTTCCATTGTTTATTATTTTTACTTCTATTTTTTTTTTCAAATCACGTTATCACAAGACTTCCATACCATTATTTAACACACTTCACGTACTTCATAATTACTCCCTTTATTTTGTTTTGTCTTCAATTTGTCAACATTTTAAAATCATACATAAAATGTGCCTATCATTTACCCGATTTATGCTATAAATATTTGTTGTCGATTCTCGATTTACTGCATGTGTTTGTACGTACATTGGTTTAAACTGTTGTTGGACATAATATGGCCTCCTTAATGGTTGTCTTGGAACTCAATTATCCCCAACGGTTGTGTTAATTTACATAATTGCAAGCAAAATAACAATCACTAAAACCAAAACAACTAGATTTGAACGGTCATTATTCATTAATAGCTACAACTTCAATTATTTCATTGTTGTACCTACTGTCTGTCTAATTTGTTAAGTATGAAAATAAATGTGTGCCGGAAAGTTGGAGGTAACTATTATTTTCGGAAATAATTATTTGCACAAGGTCGTTACTCCGATGTCGATACGGTGTTACATTACTCACAGGCCGATGGGGGAGGAATGGTCCCCAGCTGAGGTCGTTCACTCGTCAGAGTTCAATGAAAGTGTTTGTTTCTCATATGCTGTATTTACCTATATCTGTATTCATATATTTTTTATGAAGCATCGTCCAGATTCCTATTTATTCACTTTCAACGAATAACGGTCGACTGTGGAAAAAAATTGTGTGATACCTAGGGTTTGTGTGATGTTATCCACGGTTTCCCTAGCCACGGTTTATGACGTGCGGGAAATTATCTTTGGGATGGAGGAGCTCAGATCACCGAATTGCGGGCGGAAATTTATACTACATTTTCACATGTTTGTCGCACCTCACTTATAAAAAAATAAAAATAGAAGGAATAGGGGAACCTATAAGCAAATCAGCACCTCCCTCGTTTTTCTTTGGTTGCCCTCTAGGGGGTTGTAAAAGATTATTATTTAAATATCTAGAACAGAATTTTCAACTTTACGCCGGAAACAAATTTTTTTATCCCATCTAAACCTTCGTGTTCACAAAAATTTCGAAATACGTCGACTAGGGGGATCTATAAGCAACTCGGAACCACCCTCGTTTTTCTTTGGTTGCCCGTCTAGGGGG